TGCCTGCGTGCAGCCCTGGCCCCCCCGGCGCAGCCCCCCGAGCTCTGAGACCCCCTGGCACCTCCCGAGCCCAGCCGGGCTGCGGTGCTGCGCAGGCCTCCGCCTGCCCCAAGCAGCTCTCCCCGTGCCCGCGGGGTTTGAACCACGTCCACCCGACACTTGGTCCCCTGACAGAAAAAGCCTGGGCTGAGTCAAATCCCCCTTGTCACGAACACGGAACCTGGAGGTTCCCAGGCCACCACCTCTGTCCCACCATCCCACCCCAGCACCAGCTTTTGAGCCTCTGAGCTTAGCCCAAATCTCTGATTTCTTTTCCCAGCGCGTGCAGGGCTCTGGGTTTCCCACCGTTACCGAGCTGGTGGGAAGACTGGACCCTTTTCTGCCTCCCGGGCAAATCCCTCGAGCACCGGCGCAGCCCCTACCTGCGAGTCCCACCGCACCCCTCGCTGGAAGGAGGTGCTCAGAGCTTACCGCTGCCCACCACCACGCGTAGGGGATGCTGGTGAAGTTGGTGCCTGGGACATCATGTTCCACCGAGTGCATGAGAGCGGAGAAGGTGAAGACCCCCATGGCGATGAAGAGGAGGAGGCAGCAAACCTGCTGGTAGCACTGGCGCATGGTGAAGCCGAAGGCCCGGAGGCCGGTGGAGTGACGTGCTAGCTTGAGGATGCGGAAGATCCTCATCAGCTTGATGAGCTTGAGGACTTTGCCCAGCTTGCTCACGCTCTCCACCTTGTGCAGTTCCTCATGGTAAAGCGTGTCCCCTTCGTCCAGATTTTCGAAGAGGACCTGGATGTAGAAGGGCAAGATGGCCACCAGGTCTACAGCATTAAACGCTGCCCGCAAAAAGTTCTTGAAGCTGGAGGAAGATATGAGCCGCATGAGGTATTCGGAGGTGAAGAAGATGGCACAGATCATCTCCAGCTGCTCCATCCACATCTTCCCTGTCTTGTGTTTCATCTCCTCCACTGTGCTCAGTGTCATGCCCACGATGGAGACGAGCACAAAGAAGCTCGACATGACAGCAATGATCTTGGCTGGGACAGAAGAGTACGGATTCTCAATGAGGTTCCAGATCATCTTCCGAAACCATCCCAGAAATTTGCCCTCAAACTGCTCCACTGAGTCCAGGGGCTCCAGTTCTGCCTCCAGCTCCTTCTGTATTTTCAGGTACTCGCTGAGTTCATCTTGCTTTTCCTCAAACAGGATCCGGCAGCAGCGCTGGGAGTATTTCAGATGGATTCCCCAGTACTCGATTTCCTCCACAAAGTTACTGGGGCACATCTCATCCATGATCCACAGGACCCCGCTGCGGTAGAAGTGGAAGATGTAGTGGAAAATTGAAGGATCTCGGTCAAAGAAATACTCGTTCTTCTGCACCGAGTAGTCATCGCAGAGCTGCAGCTTCTTCATCGGGTCTGTGTGCAGGGCCAGCTTCCCCAGCCTGGTGACCGGGTACCGAGCTGCTACCTTGCAAGCTATCTGGAACAGTTTGCCACCCACGTTAATGTTGAGCAGGTACTTGTTCCTTTGGACGGGAGTCGGGCTTTTCTCCTGGCTTCCATCTGTCACGTCCTGCAGGGAGCTCCATTGCCTTACCAGGCTGTCCTGCGCAAACGGGATGTGGGCCTCCTCCTCCTCCGGCGTCCGGCACCAGCCCCGGCGAGCCCCTGTTTTCAGGCCGGCAGAGAGACTCGCACGCCTCGTCCCCGGCTGCCTCATCGCGCCCGACCCTCCCAGGCAGCGGTTCCCGTCCAGGGCTGTGGGACAGCGGCTCTGGCTTTGCAGGGAGGCTCCCACCCGGCGTACGCTGACGGGGACGAGCGCTGTGAGCTCAGAGGAGCGGTGGCGAGGTCCTGCCGAGGGGCACCGGCCGTGTCACCGCACCACGAGGCACCTGCCGGGTTCCCAAAGCCGATTGCTGATCAGCTTGCCGATCGCATCGCAGGAGTCAGAGGCAGCTAAGTGTCCGCTCCTTAAGACAATAATGAGATTGAAGCACCAGCCCTTTACGTAAGGAACTATTTCCAGCTCCGCACTACTCTTTCTCCCCATTCTGCTCCTATTTGCTGTTTGCACCTGCCGCACGCGGCCCCGCTCCCAGCGAGGGCATCTGCAACAGCGAGTTGAGGAGAGAACATGAACTCGCCTCGATTTAACCCTGAAAGACCCCCCTTGCCAGGCACAGAAGGGTGCAGACATGCAGATTTGTATCAGCTTTGTACCCCCACAGCAGATGCTGCTCCTGGCACCTTTCGTGCTCTTGCCATCGTTCATTAAGCACATGAACGCTAATCAGCTGCCCCTGCTCCAGCAGCCGTCATAGCCCAGAGAACGGCTGTCACCTCCCGGCTCACCCGCAGAGCCCCACAGCGCAGATTTACAGCGGAAGAGGTGAAGGACCCATCTTGCTCTCCACGCAGTGCCCGAGCAGGTCCCCAGCGTGACAGCTTGCTCCGGCACCGCTGCCCTGTGCCACGTCCTCATCGCACCAGCCTTCAGCCCCACCGTTCCGACAGGCAGGAGGAGGAACGAGGCATGGGGCACTGGAAATGCAAGCGTCCAGCAGAAGTTCCCCTGAACTACAGGAACTGAAGAGAAGGAAATAATCCTTTGGATCTGCAAGTAAAAGGGGAACCAAAATTAAATGGGCTGGTCTTTAATGCCTCACCCTGGAGCACAACCCTACCTCAGCACGCAAACCAGCACATCGAGTGCCAGGAACTGACCTACACCGTTGGTGGACAACGGGCGGGCAACTGACGTCGTCTACCTGGACTTGTGCAAGGCATTCGACACTGTCCCGCAT